TTTTTCGTGGTCGTTATTGACTAATAACGACTGAATTAGTGGTTTTAACGACCGAATTTCCCCTCGCTAAAGGCCTATTTTCTTGTAGTGAAGTCATTGCATTTCATTTCTTATGGGTTTATTTCTCTAAGGCTTGTCCAATGTCAGCCTTGTTCAAGCAAGTAAGAAGGGATTTAAAGCTTACTACCAACTTCCAAATTGCACAAAGCAAAGTGTGGCCAGAACATACCAGAGATAGCATGATGTAAAGTGGGAAATAAGGTGTCAGTGAAAGTTCCATTGGTTGAATGGTTTGGTTCAGATAAAAGGGTCAGGAATGTAAAAATAACGGTTTGGGTGTAGAACACTTGGGTCATTCAAGGTCCTGCGGTTGAGAGTCGGCTAGAAAGTCAAACAATTCTTGGCTAGTTCAAGGCAGCCAGTCAAAGCAACGCACAGCAATGGAAGGGCCACCCCCAGCAAGAATGCCGCAAGCTAACCACCATATTTTTAAACTGACAAGATTTTTCTTTGATTGAAACAGGGGCAGAAAATCTCGTTTGTTTCGGAGAAACCCTCCGTAAGGAAAGCAAGTGCCAGACAGACTCGCCAATAAGCTCCAGTACCCCCTTGGATAACAGGATTTAGTAAGTTTTGAGGACCTCACAAATGACAAGGTCTGACGAGAGGTCTACTTTTGGGAAATGTAATGTCACGACCCCAAATCCGGTCGTGATGGCGCCCAACACTAATGCTAGGCAAGCCCGACCATTCACTCTCTCAACCCGAGCATGAAGCTCAAAACCAATTAATTAAATACTTAAATCAACATCAATACTCATAGTTGAAATACTCAATTGATAACAATACGAAACTCTAACATAAACTGTAACTCCCAAAGACCTGGGGTCATGAGTCTAGAGCCTCTAACTAATACAGAGTCAAGAATCCTCAAAATAAGTATGTTCTAAAGTACGGAAATAATAAAGGGATAAGGGAGGAGTTGGGTCCTGCGGACGTCATAGCAACTACCTCGACCACTCCTGGAACTTTGGAAACCAGCGGCTAGCTCAACCAAGCTCCCGAAGTACCTGAATCTGCACACAAGGTGCAGGGAGTAGGGGGTGAGTACTACCAACTCAGTGAGTAATAAGCATATAAAATGTCTGAAGATAAGAAATCCACGAAATGCCACAAAGTAAAGCTAAAACTAACAGTCCAACACCTAACGACGAACCATCAGTCAAGTATAATGTAAGGATGCCATGCAATGCACATGACCGCTACAACGCGTAGCCCGATCCATTTAACGTCGACGGCGCTCACTGGGGGTGTGTACAGACTCTGGAGGGGCTCCTTCAGCCCAAGCACAAAATAATCATACCATTCGCTGCGGCGTGCAGCCCGATCCATACTCAGTCCAAAATATGCATATGAGTCACGTAACAGATTCAATTAATTTTCCAATTTCCAATTTATTAAGAAGAATATACTTTAGATTTAACTTCAGGAAAAGTGACTTAGCATTTCATAACAGTGATTAAACACAGGACTGAGATCAATGATTATACAAAGCATGCTATCACAATGACATTCATC